TCCCGGTGCGGCTGTCTTTTTGTTTGTTGTTTCTTCTTTTTGTGGTGGTTTGTCACTGGCCAGGATTGCGGAGACGATGGATGCAATCTGCTTCTCTCTCCGCTGACGTGCGGTGGTTCGGCTGCCCCCTTGACCCGCGTCGCGCCTTGTCCCGGCACGAAAGTCGAGTCGTCCATCACACAAGGACTACGATAGCCCGCTGGCGCCGGCCTCCTGAGGCCCCTGGTCAGATTTTGGTGATAGCTCGCTGGCGCCGGCCTCGTTAGGCCCCCGGTCAGATTTTTGGTAAGGACCCGACCCACGGAAAGAATAAATCCGGACGCGCGGGTGCCTTGTGGTCGTACGGCGTCGTAGCGGCAAGATCTGGCATAACTGTTTCGTCACAATCGGGAAATATACGGATATGATTACCACGTCGGTCTTCAGTCGTTCCTCTGAGAAGAACGGATGCATGCATCACCGATAGATCAGCGATGGCCTTGGCAATAATGTCAACAAGTATATTTACTTCTTCCCATATCTCGTGGGCCGCACCGCCATCCTCATTGACTTGCAACGTCTGGGTGTCCGTCTGAATCCCTCCGGAACCGTCGGCAGCATCCATGATGAGTGGCTGTGCTGTGTCGTCGTGGGACTGCTTGTTCTGTGCTGCGTCGTCGTGGGTCTGTTTGTGCTGTGCTGCGTCGTCGTGGACTGCTTGTGCTGTGCTGCGTCGTCGTGGGACTGCTTGTGCTGTGCTGTGTCGTCGTGGGTCTGCTTGTGCTGTGCAGAGTCGTGCTGCGTCGTCGTGGGACTGCTTGTGCTGTGCTGTGTCGTCGTGGGTCTGCTTGTGCTGTGCTGCATCGTCTCGGGACTGCTTGTGCTGTGCTGCGTCGTCGTGGGACTGCTTGTGATGTGCTGTGTCGTCGAGGGACTGCTTGTGCTGTGCTGTGTCGTCGTTGGACTGCTTGTGCTGTGCTGCGTCGTCGTGGGTCTGCTTGTGCTGTGCTGCGTCGTCGTGGGACTGCTTGTGCTGTGCTGCGTCGTCGTGGGACTGCTTGTGCTGCTGTGTCGTCGTGGGTCTGCTTGTGCTGTGCAGTGTCGTGCTGCGTCGTCGTGGGACTGCTTGTGCTGTGCTGCGTCGTCGTGGGTCTGCTTGTGCTGTGCTGCGTCGTCTCGGGGCTGCTTGTGCTGTGCTGCGTCGTCGTGGCACTGCTATTGCTGTGCTGTGTCGTCGTAGGACTGCTTGTGCTGTGCTGTGTCGTCGTGGCACTGCTTGTGCTGTGCTGCGTCGTCGTGGGACTGCTTGTGCTGTGCTGTGTCGTCGTGGGACTGCTTGTGCTGTGCTGCGTCGTCGTGGGACTGCTTGTGGTGTGCTGTGTCGTCGTGGGACTGCTAGTGCTGTGCTGGGTCGCACTCCACTGCCGCAGGGCTGCTCGTAGGATTGCTCGCGGGACCACTCGTAGTCGTTGGGTTGCTCGTCGGGCCGCTCGTGCATCGTCGTGCGGCTGCCGCTTGCGAGCCCCCCTCTTCCGAGCCTTCCGAGTCTTCCTCGCCTCCCTCCAAAACCCCTTCGGGGTTCGGGGGGCCCGGGTCTGGAAGCTCGCGCCCCAAGGGCCGCGTGGCGCAGGTCGGGCCCCTCCACTCCCAAGGGCCACTCGCGCACGCACCACCAGAATAATTATAATCACCCAGAACCGGCAATAGTGAAACCAAGAGCAAAGCATTGAAAGACCCTGTTAGTATTGAAGTGGCTCGCCCATCGAGCTACTTGTAGCCCCTACCCCAGGAACCAAGCATAAGACAATGCATATCCAGAGTAAGGTTGAAATCTGCACCCGGTCGTAAACCAATTGATGACACATGTGGTCCAAATAATAACCATTGAGACCCTGCAAGTATTGAAGTGGCTCGCCCATCGAGCTACTTGTAGCCCTTACCCCAGAAACCAAGCATAAGACAATGCATATCCAGAGTAAGGTTGAAATCTACACCCGGCCATGTCTATGTACCCGTGTGTGTAAAGGCAACATCACAAGCACAAACACACACAACCATGATTGAATTCTGCCCAAACTATCCCTCCCCTGCCTGTCTAGTAGATTTCCTACTGTCAGTCGTAAGGGTGGGGGGGTGGGTGAAGGTTCTGGTGTTGCCCCCTCCCCTGCACCTTATCATGCATGTGCATCAATTGCAATGTTATGAGAACACGACGCTTGCCCAACCGTAATCGGGCGCCCGGGAGTCGGGGGTCGGGGTCGGACCCGACCTGGACCGTGTTCTCATTCTCCCATTGAAACTCCCTTCTTCCCCGTGGAGGAAGGGGGGCCCCCCTGCCCCCTCCGCGCCATGCGCTGCACAGCGCACCGTCGAGCTCGACGAGCCCTAGCCTACTCCCATTCACTCTCGCGCCGTCGAGCTCGACGAGCCCCGGCCCCCAATCCATGTGGCATGGATTGGGAGCTAGGGCTCGTCGAACATGTCCCGCACGTCTCAGATGTGCTCGATAGACTCATCCGAGTCATCGCCCATCGCCGCCGCCGCGCCTGCCGCCGCCTCGCCAAACCCCCGCCGCCGCCTCGCCAGCCGCCGCTCGCCAGCCGCCGCCGCTGCCGCCGCCGCCGCCTCGCTGGCCGCCTCCAGCGAGATAGCCGCCGCGCGGGCCGTCGCCTCGGCGGCCGCGATCGCCGCGCGAGCCGCCGATTCGACGGCCGCGGCGATCGAGCCACCGCTCCCTGGCAGCCCGCGCCACCGAGCGACCCGGGAGGGCGCCTCGCTGACAGCCTCGCTGGCACGCGGTGGCCGCCGCCAGCGAACGGCCGCCGCCTCGGCGGCCGCCGTCAGCAGTCCGCCCCCCCCGCCGCGCCCGCGCCCCGCCGCGCCAGTTGCCGCGGGGCCACCGCGCCAGCGGCCGCATCAGCGGCCGCCGCCAGCGAGCCAGCGAGCCAGCCCGCCAGCGAGGCAGCCCGCGGCGCCGCGCGGGCCGACGCCGCCCCCCACCTCTCGCGGCGCACGGCCTCTAGCGCCTCCAGGGTCGCAGTGGCCCGGCGCAGGCTCGCCATGGCCTAGCGGGCCCGGTCGGCGTCGGCCATGGCATCGCACGGGCACGGGGCCGCGGCAGCCAGGGCCTCGGCCTCGGCGACTTCGAGCGGGTTAAGTCGACAGCAGGGGAGGCAGGGCTCAGGGGCGCGGGCGCGGACCTCGGGCTCGAATCTCGGGCTCGGCATCGGCAGCGGTTCCAGCGTCCTTCAGGGGCGATAAGGGGGGATATGATAAGCATAGGGGGGATGCATCCACCCCCAATCGCACATGGATCGCAGATGGGGGCGCGATGGCCCCAACCTGGCCAGGAACGTCGGGGGCCTATCGCCGACCTATCGGCGATGTATCGCCGATTCCAAGTCGATGTTTCGCCCGCTATGCCAATCCCCCCCCTATCGTTGCCCCTCTGCAGTCCTCGGGCCCGGGGCGGCGGCGTCGGGCTGCTGCGCGGGCGCGGCGGAGTTGGGCGCGGCGTCGGGCTGCGCGTCGGGCGCGGCGCCGGCGCCGCGCAGTGGCGTGGGACTCGACCTGATGGTCAGGCATGGCGTCAGGCTTGGCCTCGGGCCTCCGTGTGCACCTGCACGTCGGATGAAACCACGTCGTCGGGCGCGGCCTCGGCCTCGGCGGGCTCCGGCTGCGCGTCGGGGAACACGACGTCGGACGCGGCCTCGGGCTCGGGCTGCGCGTCGGGCTGCACGACGTTCGGCGCGGCCTCGGGCTCTGGCTGCGCGTCGGAAAACACAACGTCGGGCGCGGCCTCGGGCTCGGACTGCGCGTCGGGCTGCACGACGTTCGGCGCGGCCTCGGGCTCCGGCAGCGCGTCGGAAAATACGACGTCGGGCGCGGCCTCGGGCTCGGGCTGCGCGTGTGGCAGCACGTCGTCGGGCGCGGCCTCGGGGTCGGGGTGGTGGCGTCGGGCTGCGTGGCCGCGACGGGGGCGGCGTCGGGCGCCGCGTCGGGCGCAGCGCCAGCGTTTTGCACGACGGGCACGGCGTTGGGCTGCGCGTCGGGCGACGTCGGCACAGGGATTTCCGCGGGCGAGGTGGGCGGCGACGGCGAAGGCATTTTCGTCGGCGACGTCGACGGCGACGGCGGCATCGGGCCGTCGGGCCTGGGGCTTGGGGCAAGCGAGCAGAAGACTTGAGCCGAGCTACGGGCGGAGGTTCCACCGCTCGGCCGCTTCGTGGCCCTTGGAGGGGGGCTGCCAAAGTACCGCCCTGGCCCAGGGCACCCGCAGCTTTTCGGTCCATTTTGGGCCCCCTGGGGCCCGCTGGGCCTCGTGAGTCTCTGGAGGCCGTGGGGGCCTCCGTCCGTGGAAATCCTAAGGGCGCCTTGGGCCGGTGGCACTTCTACCACGCCCGAGTGGGAACGCGGAGCTCCAAGCCCCCCGCCCATTCCGACCTGCCCCTCGCAAGTCTCGTGGCCCTGGGAGCTCCAGGCCCTTCCTAATACTTCTCGATCAGAAAAGATAAGTGGCAACCATGTTGAAAAGTAATCAGATGTCCAACTTCAACTCAACATCGATGTATACAGTTGTAGTATTATCATATATAACCGAGTATATGTATTAAGGTGTTTGTTTTTTTTTTCCAAACATAATTTCTGATACATTCTATTCCCCCAAATCTCGCGCATACAGAGAATGATGATTAGTGGTGGATCCGCGAAAGCCAAGCTACGCGGGCGCAGCTACGACGACTGCCCCGCGGGAGGCCGAGCTGATCGGAGTCCTGGACCGCCTCAGCTCCCAGGCGGCCCTGACCGTGGGCAGCGGCCCGCGGGCACAAGGAGTCTCGCCCGATCTTTCGGCGTCGCGAGGCGGGTCCGAGGAGACGCGCCGGGGCTCTAGTCTGCCAGCCGACCTCCAGCGGGCCGCCCCCGAGATCTACAGGGTGATACGCGGCGAAGGCCCATCGAGCGTTCGAGACTGGATCGCCCAGAGGTGCCAGGGCAGTCGGAGCCATCATCTGCGGGTCGATATGTGGACGTTGTCGACCACCATAGACTTCCGGCTCAAGGATTGCGCCGGCGATGAGGATACCATGCAGGCGCTGGCCGTCGACGACATGATGGAGCTTGCCCCGGGGAGGCTGGCATCGCACGCGTGCGAGCAGAGGAGCGGAGACCGCGCGGGGGCCATGCGCATGCTGGGCTCCACGCAACCAGGTGGCTCGGCCGACGCGGCCCCCGCGTGGGCGGCGGCGTCGGCGACGACGCACTCCAAGACAGTGCACCAGCGCAGAGAGCGAGTGGAGCCCGAATTCCGCAGCCGCAGGAAGAAAGAGAAGGGCGAAGGCAAGAGCGGCCGCGGCGGCAAGGGCGGCCGAGGTGCTGGAGCTAGCTGGCATGGAGGAGGTGGGCTACGGCAAGCCGACCAGAGTGACCGCTCATAAAGCCCTGAGAGCGGAGGATGTGGACGAACCGCAGGAGGTGAAGTGCGTCAAGATGCTCGACGCGCTGGGGCCCGAGGAGGCCATGTACTACAGCGAGGAGACCAACGCGGTGGAGCGCGCCGAGCTGAGGAGCCAGGTGATCTTCGAGGAGCCGTAGCAGAAGTTCGGCTTCGTGGGCGGGTGCCAGGAGGAGTGCGAGCGGTACTGCGGGCGCCGGGACGCGCCGCCGAACCTCTGGCACGTCGGGGGCGCCGAGGAGGTGAAGGCGATCGCCGGCTTCAGCGCCGAGGGCACGAAGTCTGGAGGTCGACAGCGGAAGATCATCATGGTGGTGGCCGCCAACTACATGTTCAAGGATGTGAGAGAGCGGTCCGAGCACGGGCTGCACGGGGGCGGTGCGCTGGGCCGCCTGCGTGTTCCGTCTGACTGTAGGGCGGCCGCGGCGTTCGACGAGAGCAGCGCTTTCTCGTTCGCGGAAGTGCCCTGTTGGATGTGGGGCTGGCAGCGTGCGCCCCTGATGTGGGCGCGGGCCGTCTGGGGCCGTCTCCGCGCGTTCCAGCAGGCCGCGCTGGTCCCCGAGTCCTGGGTCTACCCTATGTGGCGTCGGCTGGTCATGGGCAGCTCCCGCAGCGTACACATTCTGATGGCGATGACGCCAGAGTCTGCGCCATGCCGCTGCGACGCCCACTCGCGAGCCAGGACCGCGAGCGACGACTCAAGTGGATAGAGAGCTACCGGATGATCAACGACAGCGAGTGGGTTGGAAGACAGGAGAGGCGGCGCCCCCTCCCCCCCGAGACGGACGGCTACTCCGCGGCGGGGTGGTGCGAAGCCGTTCGACAGGCCCAGCCGCAGAGCGGGAGTCTTCGTTGTCATGCACCTCTACGCGGGCCCCCGGAGGGCTCAGGACGCGCAGCACTACCTGGAGATGTGTATGCATGAGCTGGGCCTGGTCCTGCATCTGATCTCCGTCGACCTGGCGGTGGACTCGCGGTGGGGCCCGAGTCGGGTAGACACCCCAGCTGTGGCCCCTGGTGATGGAGGGGTTGGTGGACGTGGTCTTCGGTGGGCCCCCCTGCCCCACTTGGAGCCGGGCCCGCTTCGGGCCGGGAGGTCCGCGCCCCTTGCGCCGACGGGGGGCAAGTGCTGCCAGGGCCTACTTCGGTCGCGGCTGACGGCCGGGGAAGTCGAGCGACTGGGCGAGGCCAACCATCCCACGGTCAACCGCGAGACGTTGCGTGGCGGCGCGGCAAGCCGCGGAGGGGCACGGGGGCTCGAGCGCCCCGAGGACCCCGGAGAGAAGCCCCACCCCTCGATTTTCGAGACGGAGATCCTGAAGGGCTTGGAGGAGGGGACGCAGGCTAAGCGGTTTGGGCGGGGTTTCACAGAAACCCACGAGTATCACAGGGGCGGTAAAGTGGGCGCCCGACGGAGCGCGGAGATGCGACGGAGCCCACCCACGCGAGAAGAACTACGGCAAGGTTCACGGCACCTTCCGGACTACCAAGCTGGCCGCCTATCCGCCAGCCTTGCGCGAGTGGATTGCGGAGGGCATCGCGAGAACACTGACGGACGTGGCGAGTCGCGGCGCGGGCCCCGCAGGCTACCAGCGGCCTGGGGTTCGATGGCCCAGGATCTCGAGCTTCACGGCCAAGCTGGATTAGGGCACCTTCCATTTCCTGAGCGAGGCCTCCTCGCGCGAGAAGGGGGTTGGTGCTGGGCCCGTCGGACACGAGCTTCCACCTGCACATCGACTACGGCCTGATCTCCACCGAGGGGGGCCACTGGGGCTACGGCGAGGCGAAGGTCAACGAGCTGGTCCACCATGTGGGGGGCGCGCTGGAGGACGTCGGCTTCGTGGTGAAGAACCGCAAGGAGCACGGCCTGGTCGATCGCGTCGCGGGCTACGAGATCGAGTCGTGCCCCGCGCGGGCGCGAGCGCCGAGGCGGAAGGCGGCCCTGCTGTGCGAGGCGCTGAAAGTGATGGCCGATCGGCGATCGGGGACGGGTGCGCCTGGACCATCTGGCGCCCGCCCTGGGCGTCTGGATCTGGGACGCGTCGCTGGCCTGGCACTGGCTGTCGGCGCCGCGGCACCTATTCCAGTTCACGCGCCAGGAGGGCCGCCGCCGGCGCAGGTGGTGGCCCTCGGCCCGACGGGGGGCGATAGCCATGCAGAGGGGCACCATGGGGCTGCGCGCGGACTTCGGGGCCCCGCTGCTCGGGATGCTCCTCGCCTCCGGAGCCGAGGGGGCCCAGGACTTCGGCATGGGGGGCTTCGGCGCGGTCGTGGCAGCTGCGAGCCGCGAGCAGACGGAGGACCTGCGGCGCGCGGGCGCGAGGCCAGGCACGGCGGTCGCCTAGCCGGGCCAAGTACAGGAGGTGTTGGACAGAGGACCCTCGTCTTTGGAGCCACACCTGCCCGTCAGCTCAATCGCCAGGGGTTGGATCGACAGCGAGGCGAAGTGGGTGCCTGTAGAGGCCGGGCGCTGGAGGCGAGCTGGCCGCGTCGTGCTGGGCGAGGGGCGCGCGGCTTTGCGTGCCCTGTCGCGCCTGGCCGTGGTCGCCGAGGCGCATCGGTCCAAGGTGCTCAGCCCGGAGGGCGACATGGCCTTTGCCGGGGCTGCGGCGAAGGGTCGATCCACAGCAGGTCCAGTCAACTACTCACTGAGGAGGAGGCGTGCTGCGTCGAGCGCTTCGGAGATCAGGATACGCCCCCCCCCCTGGGTGGAGACAGCGAGGACGCCCGCGGAGGGCCACTCGAGAGCGGGAGGATGTAGTCAGGATCAGGGGGGGGGGGCCAGAACCCCGGTGCCGGACGATCAGGCGCGCGCGCCGCGCGCCGTGCAACGCAAACTTTCGGCCCCCGAGTGCCAGGCGACCCGCGCTGGGAGGGCCGCGTGCAACCGTCAACTCCGCTAACCTACCGGCTGCGAGCAGCTGAGTTTCACGAGCGGTGCTCGGCGGAGGGAGCGCCGCCATGGACGCAGGACGAGTGGGGCGACGCTCTGATGGAATACAAGACGACCTCCGCCCTTCCGAAGAGCCACTTCACCAGCCTGGTCGCAGCCGTCGAATTCAAGCTCCCAAGGCTGAGGGGCCGCTTGAGCAGATGCCATGCGGCGCTGCGCGGCTGGGAGCTGGAGCATCAGACCAAGCGCGCGGCCCCGATGGTGAGCGCGGCCCAGGCGTTCGCCAGCGTACAGCTCAGTGCTCGCGTCGAGCCTGGGCTGGGAGTCGGCATCGTGCTGCAAGGAAAAATGGGGGCGCGCCCTAGCGAGATGCTGGGGATCGTCGCGTCGGATCTCGTCTTCCCTGAGGAGTCTGGGTGCCAGCAGGGCAAGGGGCCTCTCATCGTGGGCCTCGGCATGAAGGCCAACGCCAAGGCCAAGAGGCCCCAATCCGACGCTATCCTGGAATGCGAGAATCCGATCCTCGCGGGCACCCCGAGGCCCCTCAAGGCTCGCGCGGCCCAGGGTGGCCACCTATTCCCTTGCGCCCTCTTATCCAGTCCGAGTGCATTTTACCTATGGGGTGGTCTCCTCACAGTCACCGTGCAGGTTTTGCTTTAGAGGCCAGTGCGCAGGGTGTGTCTTTCGACCCGATACGGAAGACGGGTCGGTGGAAGGTGGACAGCTCTCTCCGGCTAGCCGTTGGGTTCAAGGCGGCCGGTTGGGGCCCGGCCCGCGACTGGGCCGCGCGCCACTGGGCGCGGGTCGCGGCCAGAGCGCTGAATGGCGCCGACGGGCAGTAGACGACAGCCAGACGGCTCATGGACACCATCGAGCGTACCTGCGAGCTGGAGGGCTTCCACTCCGCCACCAAGACCGACTTCACCTTTTTCCTCGGCAGCTTCGACGGGCTCGTGGCTACAGCCGGGACTTTTACCACCTCCATCGGCTTTCGCGACTCCCTTTTCCTCTCCGTCACCTCTCTCACCGGGCTCTGCTGGTGGGGCCATCCCGCCAAGCGGGATTGCCCCACCAGCAGAGCCGCGCTGGGCGACCGCCAATGCGGGAGCGACGCGCCCGCCGAGCAGGCCTGCCGGCCGCCGACGCACCTGGTGGACGTGCTGGGGCAGGGCGGCCAGGTCGGGAGGCGCGGGCAACCTGACGTGTGCAGTCCTAGTGGTGGCCCTACTGGTACCAGCAACCTGGAGTCCGCTGCTGGCGCGGACGGTGACGGTGGCCGCAGACGCAGCGGAGGAGGTCGGAGGCGCGGCGGGGCGCATGTTGGGAGCAGTCGCCAACATCTCGTCCAGCGCGGCAAGGATTTTCTCGGCCATCACCGACACTACGCTATCATTGGCCGAGACCGCCTGGGAGAGCCTCGACTTCATCAGTGTCTGGGTCAACAGCAGTGCTGGCCGCATCTTTTCCTCGGGTAGCAACGACCAGCGGAGTTGCTGTCGACCCCCGAGGCTCGGGCGCTGATGAACCGCCCGAGTTCTGGCAGCAGACGCTGCTGGACCTCACCTTGTTTGTTTCTCCTACCAGATCGCGATGGACATCCACAGGCATCATTTTCACGGCGGGTCAGCCTACTCAGCACTCGACGTGTGGTTGGTTTGGCTTGACGCAGGCCACGTCGGCCTTGCGTGGAGGGCGGGATCAATGACGTAAAGCGCCAGATGGGCAGACCCGCTGTGGGACCTCACTACGGACGTGACTCCAGAACACATACGTATCTAAGCCATGCTACAGCAGGCGATCCACACTACCATGGACAAACCCGACCTATCCTTGTCACGGGCTGCCTTGGACGCAGCTCTGGCACTGGTGCCGCCGACGATTCTGGCCAGGTCTTTGAAGTGGGGCAGTCGTTTGATCTCCTACTTGTGGCCACGAAACGGGAACGGGCTTCCACATCCTGCCACGGCAATGGCTTCGCCGTCCGACGTCGAGCTTTCGGACCACGACGGCGAGCCTGACGCCGACGCCGAGGACTCCCCGAGCGTCGACTCTGTCGCCTTCTCCTAGAGGGCTTTCGACCGCGAGCTGGAGCGGGTGGAGGGGAACGAGGACCCAGCCAAACGATGTTGTTTGGTCTTCAGATGTCAGACATTCAGTTTCAGGTGAAATGCGGGGAGTTTATATGTGTATATATACATATGTATGTATGTATGTATGTATGTATGTATGTATGTATGTATGTATGTATGTATGTATGTATGTATGTATGTATGTACATACATATATATATATATATATATCATCCGATCGATCCCACCACTCCCCGGGCTGGCTTTTCCTCTATCCGCCGACCCGTGTTCTACGAGGAACGGGACGAGACATGGGAGGGAAAGTGCAGGAGCCGGGAAAGAGAAAGGAAGGGGAGGGAGGGAGGGAGGGAGGGAGAGGGTGGGGGTGGGTCCGCCGCCGACGGAGGAAAGGACCGGCTGGGGCAGCGGGCCTCTGCGCGCCCCGCGGCAGCCAGCGCCACAGGCCGCTGGCCATCTTTGGCCTCGCGGCCAGGCGAGGCCGGGCCCGGGGTGGGTACCCGTATGCCTCGAGGCGCCTGCCGCTGGCGGAGGGGGGAGGGGGCAGTACCTGTGGCGCGGGCTCCGTCGTTGTCGTCGCCGTGGCCGTCGCCGCCTTCGCTGCCGTCGTCGTCGGGCTCCGTGGGCCACACCGCGGCGCCCAGCGACGGCGTGGAGCTGCACAGGATCGGAGGCCAGGACACCTGGGTGAAAGCCCTGCGGCACGACGAGAAAGAGGCTGAGGCGGAGAGCAGGCGGGAAGAGGCGAGCCCTGAGATCCGGCGTGGCGAAAGAATTGCAGCATCGTGGGAAATCGCGCCTAGACGACAGGAGCGCGGGATCCGGACTCACTCGCTGGTGGATGATTCCGGGGGGGGGGGAGGAGCATGGGGGAGGGGGACGAAGAGAGAGGCGGAAGGAGAGAACGGAGGGGGGGAAGCAATTCAAGGGAGTGGGACGTGGGTGAGGACAGGAGCGTGGACCCACTCGGGGGCCCCTCTGGGCGGGGAGGGGGGGGGGAAGAGGGGCAGGAGTGGAGAGTGGAGGGGTAGGGTTAGCGGCAAGAGATGGGGAGGGAGAGTGGAAGGAGAGGGGAAAGGGGGATCGAGGGGGGAGATGGGTGGCGGCAAGGTCCGCTCGGTTCTTCTTGCCAGGCCCCTGTAGGGCCGCTTGAGATCCTTCACAGAGGAACATGAGACCCTGATGCGCGATGCGGAGCTTTGTTCGCGCTCTCGCGCTGCATGCCTGGATAACGCCAACTCAACAGCCCTGGCGGCAACGCGAGCTGATCTTCGAGCCCCTCGGGGTGACTAAGAGAACTGGTCCTGGAGAAAACTCCCGGGGTCTGAGGCCCGTCCCCTCAGAATCCACACACCAGATTCCAGATCACACCGCTAACTAGCAACACCGCTTGAATGGGCGACGGACAGCCACAGGCCGTCGCAGGCGGCACGCACACGTGAGGCTCAAATGGCGCTGCGGCCGAGACACCACCACCTTCGAGCCAGGAGCGTGGCCGAAAGCGTGGAACACCACTCCGAGGTTGATCATGATGCCGCCGCTGCGCTGAATTCGAGAACGGCACCCGTGCACCGTACCATGTTTGGGCTCCCTCAGGCCCCGCTCCAACGCGGTCCGGAACATAGTTGGTCTGCCCTGAGGGCCGGAAGACTATGCACCTTATCGTTCCCGGGTCGAGGATCGACGACGCCTCGGGAGACGCCAACGCGGTACGGTGCGCACATGTCGTCCGCGGACTGGCACTTCGCCCTTCCCTTCCTCTTTCTCTCCCGCATGGTGGGGGGCATCGTCTCACCAGCCAGGATGCGAATTAAGGACTCACACGACGGTTGGCCGACCCGACCCGCCTCAGGGGTGCGCGCCCGGGCGAGGTCGCGGAAAGTCACCTCATTAGCCTTCGGCAATCTACAATGAAGCTACACTGAATTCAATTCAGAGTACGAGGCACCTGTACTTTACATGCACATGCATCTCCATCTGTGAAGGAAAAGCATATATCTCCATCGATGGAAGATCGTATTCGTATCCATCTTTAGATGAACAGCACTGAATTCTGAATCACATCACCCCTGGGGAAGACGGACGAGGAGGAGTCTAAAACCAAACACGGAGATGGAGGCAGAGGGGAAGGAGTAGACGGAGGATACGGATATTGGAAATCTGAAGGGGAACTGGGACACACAAATAAATGCACACAAATAAAAGCAGTCCCCATATTTTCCCATATTTTGTGTTTTTGCCTTCCCCCCCACTTCCCGTATTTTCCTATACTTTCTAGGAATCGCCGATTAATTGTGTGTGTGTTTTTCTTCCCCTCCTGAAAATCGGATGAGCGAACGACGAGGGAGACGGGATGAAAAAACAATAGAATTCGCCAGCTCAACGGGCCAGAGGCGTGCTAAGATCTCGAGTAAAAAAAAATCAACAATATTTCGAATTCGCTCGCACAGGACGGCCCCTGGGGGTCTCCGAGCGAGAGATACCCTGGGAGACTCCCGCCAAGGACGCCGGACCTCCTGGAGGCTGCTGTCTGGAACTTCGAGAACGCTCCCGGAGCGCACCATGGACCCGAGGGGAGAAAAAACGTTGTCTTTGGTCGTCGCTTGTAGGGTCCCCACGATTCGGAACCAGGGAGGGGGCGACGACGTCGTGACCGTCGTCGTGAACGCCGGCGTCGTCGTCGGCGGCGGCGTCGGCGTCGGCGTCGTCGTCGTCGTCGTTGTCGTTGACGTCGGCGGCGGCTTCGGCGTCGGCGTCGACGCCAACGTCGGCGTCTGCGTCGGTATCGGTGTCGGCGCCAGTCGTCGTCGTCGTCGTCGTCGTCGTCGTCGTCATCGTCGTCGCCGTCGTCGTAATTAATCGTCGGCATCGGCGTCGGCGTCGGCGTAGTGATCGGCGTCGTACTCGGCGTGGTCGGCGTCGGCGTCAGCGTCAGCGTCAGCGTCGGCGTCGGCGTCGTTGTCGGCGGCGTCGTACTCGGCGTTGTGTTCGGCGTCAACGTTCTCGTCGGCGGCGTCGGCGACCTCGTCGGCGTCGGCGCTGGCGTCGGCGTCGTTGACGGCGTCGACGGCGTCGGCATCGTGCTCGGCGTCGCACTCGGCGTTGTTCCCGGCGTGGTCGGCGTCGGCGCCGGCGTCGGCGGCGTTGTCGTTGTCGGCGGGGTCGTGCTCGGCGGTGTGTTCGGCGTGGTCGGCGTCGGCGTCTTTGTCGGCATCTTTGTCGGCGTCGTTGTCGGCAGTCGTGCTTGGCGTCGTCGTCGTGCTCGACGTCGTTGTCGTCGTCAACATTGGCGTTTGCGTCGTGCTAACCGTCGCTGTCGGCGTCGGCGTCATCGTCGTGGTCGGCGGCGTCGGCGACCTCGTCGGCGTCGGGGTCGACATCGGCATCGTGCTCGGCGTCGTGTTCTTCGTCGGCGTCGGCGTCGGCGCTGGCGCTGGCGTCGGCGTCGTGATCGGCATCTGCCTCGTCGGCGTCGCATCTTCTAAAAAGTCCACATAGTCATGGTCAACATGCAAGCGCAACACATCATGATTCCCACCGATGAGCCCACTTAAAACAACATTCACTCAAAGC